GTTGTCTTTTGCTGTTAAAAGCTTCTTAATAAGATGAAATCCTATAGTTACTTTATAGTTTTAATGATGACTGTTTTGTTTGGGCTTCTAGGAAATTTCTACTGTTCTCAGATCTTAAAGATGAATCCATCACTGAAACCACTTAAATACATTACCTGAGAGAATTTAAAAGGATATAAATAAGCTGTTCACTCTTTAATAGCCACTTAAAACCTCTGTCATTCTAGCTACTTGGGAAGGAAAGTTGCAAGGTCAAGACAGACCTGGACTTTCTACCTAGTTCTTTAGCTAATTACAGAATCTTGGCTATTTAATTCCATGCCGAGCCAGCCCCACTCCCAGGCATGCTGAACTGGCCACAGAGACTAGATGCAGTGGCACAGACCTGTAATGTCATTGCTGGAGAAGTTGAAAACAAGTGGAACACAAGAAGTCCAAATTACATAGTGAGACCCTGTATCAAACACATTAAAAAAAGATTTAAAAAAATTAAGATGGTAACATTCGCCATTTACATTTACTAAAAGAGATTTAAAGAATGTTCAATACCTTTATATTAAGAGTCATTTGCAATATGGAGATGTGACTCGGTGGTGGACACTGCAGTCACTCCTCCTCACCTCCTAATCTCCATGCCTTGGTCTAATTCCTGCTTCTTCAGGATGTAGCCTATGACTTGGCAGGCAGAATGTGGCTCACTTGATGGGCTGTCACTCCTGATTGTATTCTGTGACGTGGTGAAGATGAAGGGCTGCCATAGCTATGTTACCTATGCTACCTATGGCAAAGAAGTCACTTTATGGCTATACGGCACGGCAAAGATTGTAGGACATCACCCCTTGGGCTGAAATTGGATTCTTTAAGGCTCTATTTTGTTCGTAGCTCTTTTTCTTTTTGCTGGGTTTAAATAAACAGTTGTGAATCATTTGGCCAATGACAACTACCTGAGCTGAAGGAACTTAGGAGCAAGTCTTTCACCAGTCAAGTCTGGAAAATTCCATGACTACAACTGAGATCTTGCTCAGCCCACGTATCCCGTGTGTAGACTCATGACCCACAGGAATATTGAGGGAACAAGTATAAATTAGGGTCCCAAATAGGTCTTAACTTCTCAAAAAACAATAGAAAATTAAGGTAAAGTAAGTAATGCTTTATTCAAAGACTAGTGCTGAAGATCAAACCCAGGACTAGGCAAGTGCCTATCAGTGAACTACATCTCCAGCTTGGCTATATCTCTTAATGGCCTCAAAGAAGTTATCTGCCATTGGTCTCTCAAATTCTAAAAACTGCTTTTGAAACAACCACCATCACCTATGCTCCCTCACTGTGTGTTGGACCACAACGCTATCCTGGCAGAGGTGGGCATAGTCTGGCATCCATCACTCACAGGTTCCTGCTGTGGGAAACCAACTGTGTTATCCCATTCTAGAGCCTATCAGCAGAAGCTGGATGGCTGTTTGCCATAGAAAAGAAGTTGTGTGATGACTTAAGAATGGAAAGTAGTGCCTCAAGAACAGAAGGCTAGTTCCAATATTTCAAACTTCTGTGGCCTCAGCTTCGGGCACAGAAGGCAACTCCCACTCATAAACAGATCTAAAGAATAAAGAGAAGCACTGTCTTTGCCCCTGCTATTGGCTAAAGTGAGGTGACTCCTTGGATGACCAGCAGATTGTGGGTGACATGCTACCACAGGTCACCACAGGCCTGAAAGAGCCATTACCTGGGTTCAGATTTCTTTATCCCAAGAAGAAAATTCTGTGTTTCCCAACAATTACAAAACAGTAGTGAAATGTCAAAGAGAGGAACAATGGAGACAGTAAGAGGTAGAGGGACAAAGAGAAATAGAAGAAAGAGAAAGAGGCCTAAACACAAGCAGGAACCTGATGGGCTTCCATCTGATGTGATCAGATACAGATTCTGATGAAGAAAACAAGGGAAAAAAGAACATGGGAGAAGCTGTTATCACCCGAGAAAATCTGAGATTTTCTTCATGAAGAGGACTCAAACCCATCATCACATCTCCCACAGCTGCTATTCCTTCTCTGGTAGAGGAGACACAGAGCAGTCCATCATTTCCAATCGGGCCTGGCCACTACGCTGCTAACAGGGATGGCACAGTGGTGCCTAAGATCACAGAGAAGTGTGGCATCTTGGAAGGCCAAGGTCTAGGGAAACAAGAGCAAGGGGCTGAGTATCACATCATCAGTAGAGAAGAGTGAAAAACAGGACAGCAGGATCAATATGGGCGATTCCACACAGAGCCTGATGAGTCCCAAGATACATTCAAGGGGCTGGATTCAATGAATTTCACATTAATTGAAATACTTAAGTGTCCTACCCAAGTGGTCCTACTGAGGAATGTAGTTTGTGCAAGAGAGGAAAAGACATGGAAGCTGAAAACAAGGGGAAATGTGAAAAATACGGCAACGTTGGGAAACGTGTGATATTTGAAATCCTGGTGCCCCTGTTAATGAAGCAATATGAATATTTTTAGAATTTGAGAGAATGCAATCAGCAAATGAAGCTGTTGTTGATATGAATGTGAGGTATTTTGGTGGCTGGATGGTAAAAACATGTTTCTACAGACAATAAATTCAGGGTCTTGGATCTGGCAGAACAAGTTTGATTTTAAGAACTACAGTCAACTCCAATGATCCTTACATGAGCAGCATCTGAGCGAAGAGAAGAAAGGCTGCTGTACATTGAGCCTGCTGGGAAGACCTCTGAGGTCCACATTGGTGGATCCCTGAAATAGCTCATGGTTTTTTAATATGAAAGCCTTTGAAAAAATAAACAAGACCAACTTTTTTCTTTAATAGAGAGAAATAAAGCAACAGGGTGGGGGGAGGGTATTTGACACCAAAGAGTAGCATTCTGTAACTCAGAAAGATATCAGATTTTGACTTTGTAGTACATTGCTCCATAGGAAGCAAATGTAACTAAGGTAAAAATACTCTTATGGTCTGAAAATTTTCTTGATATAGTTTGGTACTATTTATTATACTTACTTTGTATGTATTCTTAAATAGTTTCACTTGCTTTTGTTTTTACTCTTCAAGATAAAATAATTTTTTAAAAAACATACTCCCCGCCAAAAAAATACTTAAACTTTATGACCATTATCTACAGACTGTGTGTCCACATTTGATTTCTTTAGGTCAAATTAGAATTTTTGATACCAGTTTTGTCATGTACCTAAGATATAAAAGTCTTGCAAAATACATGATGGAATGCTGAGATAGCAGCTGAGACTGGGAGTGGCGACACAGTCCTGTAATCCCCGTGCTTGAGAGGCTGAAAACAGGAGGATTGCTATGAATCTCATCTGTGTACTGACACCCTCTAGACTCTGTACTGAATACTTAAAAAAAAAAACCATGATGAATAAATTTTTTATTTTAAAACATGTACTTCATACCTGCTTGATAAGGTATTGTTCCTGAGGTCAAACGATGAAATAATTTCCCAGTATGTGTGACTCAAGTTTGAGTTGTGAAATGCTATTCTAGAAAAATGTGCTTTCATAATAATTTGTCAGTCAATTCTCCAGTAATACGTATGTGATGACTTTGGATTAAAAAGTAAAACCCGGTTAAATTGTTTCTGCATACGTTACTTAAAGTGGGTCAGTGTGCGCTAGAGGATTCTTTTGGGGCTCCAGTCACATCAAACTCAGATTAAAAACCTGTGAGAAATTTACCCACATTTCCACTAAACAGCTTGTGAAAGCACAAAATATGACAGACCCTTCCTTCCTGTACCTTGGTTAACCAGCTTGTCTGTTTTTCCCAGAACACAGATCCACATCTTGACATTAATACTTCTTATTACAGACTGAAGTGAGGTTCACCTCCTGTGTTCCCTGCTCCCATTTTGAAGCTGACATTTACTGTTATGTGGAAGAGCTACAGTTGTTTTAAAGCCACAAGACAAGCAAATGTCCTATGGCCTACTTTCACAAGTGACCTGCGGGTAATTTCCAAAGCAGGTTTTCCCAGTGTAGAAGACTTTAAAGTCATCTTTCACCAGATAAATGTATTTCTTTCCCTTGTTTCCCAAAACAGAATTAATAAGAAATACTGCATTTGTGCAAGCTGATCTTTAGCACAATAATTCTAGAGTGTGATAAGAAACAAGCAGTATCAGTTGAATCATAACCGGCCTGCAAGCTCTTCCTCTTGCACACTATGGTGAAATGAATGCGCTGCAGAACACATAAGTATTTACCTGCCTATATCTGAAAATGTGCTTGTGCAAGACAGGCAAAGAGTTTACCTGAAGTTTTTGTTTGGTTTCTTTTTTATAAAAGCCAGTACTTTTATCTACGCACATTTATAATTTGTATTTTACGTTTTTTTCTTTGGGAAATAAAAGTTCCTGTGATGATAAATGCACAAAAGCAGCGAGAGTAGGAGATACATAGACTAAGAGGAGAAGCTAGAGTCAGGAACACCTTGCCACCGGAAGTCATGTGGCCACAGGAATTTCTCTGAACTTCTGTCTTATCTGTACTCCTAACAGCAAGTTTTCTGAAATCACCCATAAGGTGCCCTTCTTTGACCTATCAAACATTCAGTAGATGGTAGGCACAATTGCTCTTACCCTTGAAAAAGGGACTGCACACTGCTTCTCATGTGACTTTTATCCAAAGCCCACTGGATGGTTGTCAGTTCAAAGAACTGAAAGAAAGCAGGTCCTACCTAGAAATATTTTTATAATTTGTTATTTATTTCCTACCCTCAAAATTGCTTCCTTCATGCTTTTCTCCACAAAGTGATTCATCCTGTGGATTGATCAGAACTTCACTCAAGTGTACTACTCAAAATCACCCACCTCTATTTCTCCCAATCTCACAGAGTCACACACACACACACGCGCGCGCGCGCGCGCACGCGCGCACACTGAATACCATTTACCATACAGTCCAGAATTTTTACCTCAGAACATAGGAACACAGAAATTGTATCACCAGAACAATAACAACAACAAAAAGAAAAATACAGGCTTTAATGGACAGTGAGTAAAATACAGCATGATTGAAAAGCTGGAAGTACTGGGATACAAATATAAGTAGGCTGTAAAAGAGTGAGAAGGTGATCATTATTTGGAAAATACAGTGAGGAATCATGAGAAAATCTAGAGGACAAAAGTCCTTTTCCCAGACCTCACTCTCTGGACTTTCAGATATCTTAATCACAAAGCCATAGGATCCTGGGTGTTCCACACTTGCCATCAGTGTTTAGACAAAACAGAAACTGAACTGAAAGGCATGATATTCCACCCCTGTTTTTCAGCTGTCTACAAAAAAGATGTTATTGTTGGTTCTTCCTCAGCATGCTTCTCAGATCCTATCTTTTTCAAGTTCTCATGAAACTTATTTCCTTATGTTAAAGCTCAAACTTTTTTTATTTATTGCGACTACATAAGTGAGAAAATGCTGATTGTAATCTTTGTTTATAACTCCTTAAAAACTAGAACAGAAACAATCAAAATTACCCATCATTAAGGCTGCTGCCTAGACAATGTTGAGCTAACACACGGTTAGTAACATGCTAAATCGACCTGTGGAAAGCAGACCAGATAAGTATATTCTATCACTCTCTATTCACACCTGAATCTAAAAGTTTCTCAATTTTTCATATCCAGAAAATAAGCATTTCGGATTTCACAGGCAGCAGTAGAATGAGCAGGCACTTGGACTGGTCAGATATTTAATTTATTTAACTTCCCTAATATCTGCTTAGAATTTGAACTGCTGTGGTTGAAAAATGATTAAGGAGCAAAACAATGATGTAAAATTTTAAATAAAGGTCACTGTTCCTTGTGAAATGGGCTGTCAGTTTCCCAATTTATCTGCATTTTTCCACCAAATTGGGTGGAGTTGCTCTACGCAAGGCGATAGACATTTGTGGAATTAGCTAACTTGGGAAGGCACCACAAGCCATCAAAAGCGACTCTCTTCTTCTTCCACAGCACGGTGAAGGCCAGGGATGAATTTCAAGAGCTGTTTCCGGACACTCCCCTTTCTGTTCTTCCGGGGCAGAGTCCCAAACACGCTTGAGCAATTGTTCTCCCATAACGGGGACATGGATCCGCTGCTGGTCGTGCTGATGCTCCGGCTCCTCCTTGCAGACCACCGTGTGAAGTCGTCCCCCGCCTTGGAGACAAAGCACTCGTCCTCAGCGCTGCTCTGCCGGCTGAAGGGCCCCCTTCCCCAGTCCTCAGACACGCAGGTCTGGTAGCAGTCCTCACTGTCCACTGTCATGGAGCTCAGCGAGCTCTTACAGCTGCCCCCACTGGATAACCGACTCCGTTCCAGAAGGGCTGGGCCGGCCCCGGGCAGGGTTCCAAAAGCAGCCACATCATCCATGTCCAAGTTTTCCAAACCTGGGCTGTTAGCAGCATCACCTAGAATACAGAGAACAAAATCTACCGTGAGATAGATCTGAGTGTCAATAAATAAACACATCAAAATTCATCTTTAAAAAAACAGAAGAAGGGCCAAACAATATAGCTCAGTGTTTTAAAGTACCTGCAATCAGATGCAGGAGCCGGGCGTTCGATCCCCGGTCTGCTGTGCGGGCCCCGTCTCCGGGGCGCGCTGAGATGGTAACTGAGACTGGGCGTGGTGGCACGCGCCTATAATCCCAGCTCTTGGGAGGCTGTAAACAGGAGGATCACTACGAGTCTGATCTAGTAGTGAGACCCTGAACACCCTGTAGACCCTTCCCTAAAAATGTGGCTCAAATGTCCAACTGGGCACTCTGGGGACATGGTAGCAGCTATAAGCTGCAGAACCTACTAGGAGGTTTTAGGTCATGAGGAAAGGTTGCTCTTACACTGGACTGTGGAATCCTGTCCTTTCTCTTTTGTTTCCCAGGCATAAAGAGAACAATTTTGCTCTGCCCCATCTTCCCACCATGATATGAGACCACCAGCTGAAAGCAGGGGCATGAACCCCTTATAGAATGAAGCTTCAAAACTGTGGGCCTATGTAACGCTTTCCTCTTTATGAGCTGATTTATCTCAGCTTGTACTGACAGAAAGCTACTAGGAGAGTAGCTTAACCCAGCTCAGGGTGTGCCAGTGGGACTTGTGCATCTCCAAGTGATCGCTTCTTAAATTTAAGTGATCCTAGAACATTTTAGTAAAATTTTCACAGAAACTTTTTTAGTTATAAATTTTATTTTTAATTATAAAATTACATAAAGTCATTTGAAGTGTGTGGCAAACACACTTTTAAATCAGAGAATTGAAAGGTATTTATAACAGAAGGGATTCATGAAATCAAATATATCCTCCAGCTTCAATATTCCAAGTTTCATTGTGGAGCACTGACATTTTTTAATGATATGGTACTTAGAAAATATTTCTGCCATAAAACACACAATAATCTATTTAAAGTAATTTGATTGTATCACTTGGCTAAACTTTTTCTGCAGCCTTTATGACCTACATCTGGGCTCCATGCACTGAGATCTTAATCGCGTGTCAACTTCCTGCCCAGAACTCCCCGGGCTTAAATACTATCTAAACTGGCTGGTGTGCTGCTAAAACAAAGAAGTGTGCTTGTAGTACTGGGCTTAGAAAATCATGATGAAAATGTGAATCTGCTTCAAGAAAAGTACTAGAACACAAAGCACTCAAATGTGTTTTTATTTTGCAATTATTAGCTGTACTTTTGCTCTCCTTTATCCTTGGTTGACAAGATAAAAAGACACTACAGACACTATTCATTTTCCCATTTGATGTAAAAGGTTGAATTTGGCTAGCCCTTCAAGGACTAGGTATAATGCTTTATTTTTTGATAATACAGCCTCCTTTATTTCATGTTACAAGGAGCTGATTTTTTTTTTTAATTAGGGAACAATTGCTTTGCAGGATGAAAATGCAAACGAATAACCTCTCCGAATCCCTGAAAAGAAAATAAGACTGCCTGCATGCGCAGCATCCTTCAGAGCAGTCTAGAAATGGGGGCAAAGTTTTCTTAAACACTCCTATGTCTATGGGGGCCAGGAAGTGGCTTAATTAGGAAGGTGTAAAGACAGTTTCAGATCTATGTGCTTGTAACGAACTCCAGGCCTCCAGAAAATCAATTATGAATTTTTGTTCCAAATGTAGCTTATTTTATAAAGATTTTAATGAAAATATTTAAACTAAAAATTAGTGGTTAATTAAGTAGTAGATTGTATCTTTTTTAGAATATATAAGAAACTCCAAATCTTCTATAGCAAAAAACAATAGAAATAAGAATACATAGTAATGCTAAGAAGACAGTTCTCAAAAGAAGAGGTAGGAATAGCCAACAGGCACATAAGAATGCTCAGAATTGTTAATCATCAGCTAACTGAAAATCAAAGAGACAAAAATTAAAAGCTGGGGAGAATAAGAAAAAAAGTGAACCCTAGAACATTGTTGGTAGAAATGTGAATCAAAATTAGGATAGACACTATGAAGAATGTATAAAGTTTTCTCAAAAAGTTACAAATAGAACTAACATATGATTCGCCATAGTGGGATTACCCACTAAGGGAATATATCCCAAGGAAATGAAATTGGTCTTCAAAAAAACAAAGAAAAGAAAACACTCATGTGTTAATGGCAGCGCTGTTCACATTAGGCCCCCCAACAAGGGAAATAGCCTAGGTGTCCCTCAACTGATGAATGCATAAAAAAATGTGGTATAAAATTGTTACGGAACACCACCCAGACACTTACTAAGAACAAAATCCTGTCATCTTCAATAATGTGGATGGAACCGGAGATCACTGGGCTAAGTGAAGCAAGTCAGGTACAGAAAGACAACTACTGCACTGTGGAATCGAAAAACATTCATCTCACACAAGTTGAGAGGAAAGGGATGGGTCCCAGAGGCTGGGGACAGAAGAAGAAAAGACAGACAGCAAAGGCTGCTCAGTGGATGCCATGTGACAAGGAGATAAGAGCAGGACATTCTATGAGCTTTATTGGCCAGAAGGGTAATTAAAAGTGACAGTAATGAAGTTTGTATTTCTACAAGCTACAAGAAAAGAGTGTTGCAACCACAAAAAATAATATTTGATAATATTAGATATTTAGCCTGATTTAAGCATTAAAATGTGTACTTACCTCCAAATACTACTGTATATGTTTTATGTACAATTTCACTGCTTTGAAATTCTTATTAAAATAAAAATACATAACTATTCTGCAAATAAAATGGTTATCACTTCTAACAGATGCTCTAGGCTATAGAGATGTGAACTAAGTGGCCCTAAAAAGACACAACCTACATTTCACAGCACATGGCAAGCAGTTTGAACCAATTCTTTGTACACAGAAGTTCATTCCTGTAAAATTGATTAGATCTAGTACCAAATGAGGAAGCAAGTCACGAAGCAAGCGGGCATGAATACAGGACATGGTCTTTTCCTGTTGGGGTTGGGTTACTGAATCAACTTTACCTGAGCAATGGTAAGTCTCATTGGCTGACCATAGCTTTGTCCCACCTCATGCCCACCTAAGCTAGTTCCCATGTTCTCCACCACCTTAGACCCACTTCACCTCATGGTTTCACTCTATAAAAGTCCCTGGAAGACATAGCTTCCCAGGGACAACCCACTCGGGCTGCCCTCCTGTCCTCTCAGACAGGAGCTTTCTTTCCCCCAATAAAAACATTCTGCTCATTAAAAAAAGTTCATTCCTCAGTTTGCTTCAGTCACAGAGCAGAGAGCCAATCAACAAACTTGAGACTCAGTGCTTCCCCTCAGGATGCATACAGTACCAAAAGCTATGCACTTACGGTTCTATCTCACAGATGTCTGACTTGGTCTTAGGGCCAATGGAAATGATTTCTCTGCATGAATGTGGTGCGCGAGAGGTCAGAAGTACGTGACTTCTCCCATGCTGAACAGCTCCAGAGAGCTGACAGCCCCAGCTGTGGCCATTTTAGGAATTTAATTCACTGGCTGAGGTGGAAGGAAATGCCAGCAGTCTCTCTGACCTGTTCTAAAGGCTCCAGACCCCTCTTCGAGTGCAGGCATGCATATGCTCATGGTTATGTGCACATGCGTGTTACGTGTATGGAGAAGGGGGTGTGGCTTGACTTCTTGCTCTTCCAGGCCCCAACCCCACTCCACAGTTGATGCCAAAGAAACACAGACTGGTATGTTTGGCTGGTGCTAGATAAATTTGTCTTGCTACAAAAATACTTTTCAAACAACAGAGACAGAAATACAAAAAAGGATGACATGTGCATGTGGTTTCTGAACAGGAAGACACCCTACCATGAAGCAGGCGCTGTTCCTGTAACTGCAGAGACTTCAGCTCCACCCATTTTTTCTTCAAGGTTTGCTGTGAGAAGAAAAACAAATGTTCTAACTATTAAGAAACTGTGAGAAGATAGCAATCTAACTCTCAATTTTGAAACTTATCATTAAAAGTTCCTTCTGTCTTTTAAGTACTACCAGTCCCTCCTGTTGATTTAAAAGATCGTTGCTAAGAGAACAATGGTAAGACTATTTTCTCAAGAAATAACTTAGTATCATCAAATTAGTGTTCTTTTAAAATACAAGAGAAGCTGAAATGGATATACCTTTGTTTAAAAATTATAGAACCTGATTGTCTAGGTTTGTAAGAACTTCCTAGCTGCCCAGGCAAGAACCTGCATGCCTTCCCCCAATGCAGAACGGTGTTGATAGAACTTAAAGCTCAGCTGCGTCATGATGAGTCCATGGATTAAAAATATAAAATATTTAGAATGGTGACTTATGAAATGCTTAGTAAATATTACCTAAGATCCTAAAACACCAAAGCAACCTTTTTTTCTGCACATTTATTTATTTTCTACAGAAGGAGAGAGAAAGAGAGAGAGAGAAATAGACCTTCTCTCAAAGACTTAGAGCACTGCTGAGCACCCTCACCTCTTCCCTGCTTCCTTTTTCAGTTGGTGCAGTGCAAGAGAATAGTTTCCCATGGTAAGAGTGAAGTGACCTCCTAAGAGCCAAGGCAGCACAGCTCATGAGGCCAGGCCTCACCCAGAAGCAGCAACGGAAAATGAAAGCAAAACAGGCAAAAGCAGAAGGATAGTGAAAAAGCAAAAGGATAGTGTCACGGGCTACCAATCCTTCCCATTACCTGTCCTGTCCTGTGCTCCTCCTTCTGCCATTCTAGGTGCCCACAGCAAGCCCAGAAAATGGGGATAGGTCAGATTTGCCATGCGCACATATGCTAAAGTCAAGCTAAGTGGAATAAGTGATCCTTTGTAGAAGCAACCTGGAAGGAACAGATGGAGGATTAAAAGGAAGGAGGAAAAAGGTACACCTGACAAGGAAAAGGCAGAGGGCAAGAAATTAATAAAATTGCAAGAACATCATTGAAAGCCTAAGGGACAAATGAGTCATTCCTCCGGGGTCAAACACTGAACACTAGCTGGACAAATTTTTTTTCTATCCTTGATAGCAACATTTGAGAGCAATCCTTATGGCTGCCAAAGTAGTATGCAAGCAATAAAGTTAAACAATAAACGACTAGGCTTAGAAAAATCTTTCTTAAAAATTACATACTCTGCAATGGTTAAGACTGCTATATTTCTTGTCTGCTAAGTTTCTTTCTTTCTGTTTTTTGGTATGACCTCATGCTTGCCAGGCAGGCATTGTGCTGCAGAGCTAAATCCCTAGCCCATGATTGTTGGTTTCTGTAGATGCAGCCCTTGTTACCTTTGTAAATCTGAGGGCC